TATCAGTCTCACCCAAAACCCCAAAACCCCAAAACCCCAAAACCCCACATGATATGCATTTTAATAGTAAAGAGAAATTAAACAATAGTATTTTTGCAAGCTATATCTGCCTTTATTCCCCTTCTTGTCTTTATCAAACTCTTTATTAATGTTTCTCATTGAGTTGGGAAGAAGCCTTGTTGGGCCATGCTGACTCTTGGACCAGACAAGCCGAGTAACTTTTGCATAATAGGTCTGAGTGATACATTCGATAGAATATATATAAAGATCATAGAGCAGTCAGTATAATCATTTCCTACAATGCTTCTATGAGTGATATTTCTCATGAATGAGATTGGTTCAAACGGTAATTTAGCAACAACAACTCCCTAGATTTTAAAGTCATTAAAGGTCTCATGATTCTTACTTAATAAGCGTTTGAAAGTAAACTGACAAAGATGATCATGAATAGTGCCACGAAGAATGTAGATGCCATTCTTTACTATAATCATAAATTTAATATATCTCAATATCTTTTTGTGCTTTGATTGTATTTTACCTTTTAGAGATCTTGCTGATATTGCTTTAAGAGAGACTCATTTTGCTAAAGCTTCTTGTCTTGAGTTTTATTCTTGGCAGCAGCACCTTAGTAGATCTATTGCTCCTTTTGCTTCTCTATTTTCTTCGATAGCTACTCAACGTTTGAGATAAGAGTCTTGTATTCTTGATGTCTGTAGATCAATAACCAGGAGATGCCTTAAATAGGTTATTTTGAATACGTTTACATACCCTCTGACAAGAGAGAAGTGAATATAGCTGCACCCATAACGAAAAATGTGTCAGCTGAATCAATGTATGATGCTAAACCACTCATATTTAATTAAAGATTAATAATTAATGATTAATTATAATTTGAGACTTAATTAATACAAAACAGAAATTTTGGGGGTTTGATGTGTTTGAAAATTAAATTGATTCTTCACTTAGAGGTGAGAAGTTTCAGGTTAATAGTCTCATTGTTTGATAAATGAGATTGTATGTCCAAATCATTCTTTCTTTACAGAAGAAGCTTTGGCTGTTGTGACAAGGTGATCACCAAGGCTCAATCTTTGACCCTCTTCGACGTGAAGTTGGGTGTCTTGAGGACCCTCAAAGATCAAAACAATGGTAGATCCCATCTCGAACCATCCGAGTTCCTCTCCCTTTCTGATTGTCAAACCATGGGATTATTATGTCATAGGAACGCCTTCTGGTCTATCAGCAACATTAGCTTCTTAATTTAATTGATCTTAGTTCTTGAATAAGTACTTGTCAAGGGGAGCATAGAGTTTATCATTGACCTTCTTGTAAGACTAGTCATAGAGATATGGCTCTCTTGGTGCGGATTAATTTGTCTCAAGTTCTGGGTCGAAGTGGAGTTTTATTGAGCCAACGTTTAAGGCGCCAACAAAGGATTACAAGAAGAAGCCTTGGCTCCAGTTTCCGAAGATGTTTACTCTCTCGTTGTTCTTAAACACATCTTTGTGTTTGTTCACATAGGATGGCTTAACTGGGTCGAGATAGCCAGCAATATGTCTTCTTTATTCAGCGTGATAAATGGTGGGGGAGTGGAATCTGTGGTAGTCTGATGGAGCAAGATAAATAACCATGTAGAAAAGTTTGTTTCCTCTATCGAGGACTCTCTTAATAAGTGCTGGGATGGTCTTATCGTTCTCATCTCTGACTCCAAGCATGAATTCATCGAGTCTGTATGACCTTCCTTTCACACAATCAATGGTGGCATCACAAGTTGAGATTTCTCCGCAAGTAAGGACTCTTCCATCACAGGGTGAGCACATTGAAGTGAGTTCAACTGGCTCTGAGATAGTTCTAGCTCCTTCTTTGAGTTATCTAGTGAAGAATCTGTTGAAAGACTCGTAGAACTTTAAATCCTCATGCTTCATCTCCTCGAAGTTGATCCCATAGAGTTTACCGAAAGATCCGTAGACAATGGGTCTAAAGATATGTTTTGAGGGAGGAAAATATTTACCTTAAAAATTCAGGCAACTTAATGGAGCACGCTAATCCAGTCAATCTTGAAACATTTCTGGAGAGGGCAATCTAAATTAAATTAATACAATTTTAATATTAATTACCTTGTGTTTAATGGATTGATGTTTTCTCATGAGTTTATAAAGAGAATATCCGTAGAATCCGGCCATGAAGAAGAATGCCATTCTTGGACTCTCCCAAATACTGGCCTTTGAAATGTTGATTCTTGAGAAAATTCTGCCAGGGAGCGTGATACTCATTGGTTCTCTAGTTCTAGGTCTCTTGAAACCAATGAATTTTCTTAAAGTGTTTCTTAGAGAGAGAAGTGCTAGTAAATATAGGAAAGCGACTGAGCACTATTGGTAATCGTTGCCCTCCAACTCGGAATGAGTGAGATGTTTAAAGATTCCAATAGGTTAAAAGGGTAGATGAGCCACGACAACACCCTATTAAAAGTTAGTTCAGAAATTGGTGGTGAAAGGTGCTTACCTCAAATCTCCAGAAGACAACCTTCATAATAAATAGCATACATAAGCCTATGATAAAAGATGAGACGACTCTAGCCTAAAAAAAATATAAAAACTAACTGAATTTACCTTGTAAAGTTGTCTTTTCAATTGTTTGAGTTAGTCTGCGTTTGACTTGAACTCGTACTTCTCTGGGCAGGATTGATTAGCGAGTTCACTTTCAATGTATTTCTTCAAATATCTTTATCTCACTCGAAGTGACTAATGTCTGTTCACTAGAGAAAGGTACCTCTGTGATCTGTAAATTAGCAACCAAGAAATGCCTAAAAATAATTTTTTCGATTGTAAATTACATTCTCCTACTAAAATTGTAGAGATGGCAGTTGCAATAATAATAGCTGTGTCGATCAGTGATATATTTAATGACGTCATGCTAAAATGTTCCTTCTTGACTTCAAATATTAACAATTAATAATATATTTAAAATAGATAGATTATATAACAGACCCAATGATTCCCAAAAATTATATGATTAGAATATATTAAAATATCTAAATAACGTACTAACTATTATTCAAACTATAAATCTTACTTAATCATTGATTTTTATACTGTTTACCATGTAATCAATTGGTGTGCTATGGGGTTTTGGGGTTTTGGGGTTTTGGGG